GCATAATGCTTTAGAAGAGTGGGGTGGTCATACTTGGGCTAGAGCAAGACTGTTCCCGGGCTGCAGAAGCGCACTGCTGGCAACCCTCACCAAAGTCAGCCAGGTGCTCTGGAGTGTGTTAGCTGAAGAAGGAAATAGATGTATGGTTTGTCTCTGAATATGTGCAATTATATTTCTTTTTCCTAAAAATCAGCCACAACCATGACATTTGAAATGTGCTCAAGGAACCTGTCCCAAAATGGAAGCAAGGGGAAACGCACCCTTCCGGCTTTTGGGAAGCAGGATTGTCTTTCCCATGGAGTTTCTTGGGAATCCTAAGAACCACTGGCCGGAGGTAAAGGGGCCCAAGAAAGAAAGCAGCAGAGGCTGTAATGGTCACCTGCTGGTTGCCCCATTATTTTTCTGGTTCCTGGTTGCCCAGGAATCCTGCAGCCCATCCAAGAGAAAATCCTTGGCTGGGCCACTTACTGCCAGCAGGATGTGGGGAAAGCGGGGGAAGAGGCTGGCTGGAATCTGTTCCATGCATATAGATGGAAATTTTTGTCAAATGTCCCTTCTCCACCCCCACCCCAAGTCAGTGTCCAATGGTTTGCCATTGACCCAAGAGCTGTGGCTCTTCTCTTGGAGACCACTCATGTTTCCTGCCTCTGGCTACTCCAGAGAGGTTGCCATTGTAAGTAGTCTGTGTGTTTTGTAAGCCTTTCTTTCTGTTCCATTCAATGGAGCTTCTACTCTGTGCCAACCCAGGCAATAGCTGGCATGAAAAAGGCAAATCCCAGGTTGAGAATAAAATAATTAAAAAATTGCTAATATCCTAATGCCTAAATACTTAATGCATGTGAACCTAGCTGAATCCAAAGATGGTCTGTTTTCCTATCTGGGTGGGATCATGCTCCTGTGGGCATTGCTGGCTTGAAGTTGGGGGTCTTCCTGGACTCATAGCAGGTGGAGGCCATGGCCAAGAAGGCCTTTGCAGAGCTACACGTGGTGCACCAGTTGTGGTCTTTCTGGGAATGTGAATCCCTGCTTGCTGTAACTGATGCACTTGTCACCTTGTGGCTGGAATGTGGTAATATATGTCATGGAGCTGACTTTGAAGACCTATCCGGAAGCTTCAGCCGGTGCCACAGAGACAGTCTAGGTTGTTTGGGTCCGACCTGGGTTCACCCATATAACCCCACCATTACAGGAGCAACACTGGATGCCAGTCTGCTTTTGGGTGCAGTTCAGGGTGCTGGTTGCCACTGTTAAAGCCCTCTATGGCTCTGGGTCTGGGTATCTTCAAGATTCCCGGCTCCAGGCTGAGTCTGCTTGTGCAGTGAGAGCTGGGAGGAGTCCAGGTTTGTTAATGCCATCTGCAGGGACCTCGTAGCTGAGCCTTCTTAGTGGTGGCCTCCCTTTTGCGGTACAGCTTGTTCTTTGATATCCAGCGTGATACCCTTGTTTGGCTTTTGAAGCATTTCAGGAAAGAATTTGGGGTGTCACTGTTAGGGGATGCTGTTCTTTGGGTTACCATGTTTTGTTGAAAGGTTCCTGTGGTTTGATTATTAGAAGGAAGGGGCACTGAGGGCATCTTAGAGGTCTGGGCAGTACGGGACACATGGATAAGGGCATTGTTCTTCCTCCCGTAATACTAGAAACTGAAATGAAAAACCCAGTGAAGTGAAAGGGAGGAGGGGAGAGGAGGGGAAGATGGGCAGAGCCAAACCAAACCACAGGCTGCTGTAGATGCAGATGCCCCATAAAGAGATGGGTGTTCAGGGAGGCTGGGCAGTGTGGAGCGGCGGTGGAAGAAGAGGCGGGAGGCAGAAATGACTCCTGGCTTGAGGTCCGAGGGAGGCCGGGGCTCAAGCGCCGGTGCTACACCTCCAAAGGCGCGCCTTCCTCACAAGCTGTGTGGAGAAACGAGCTCCTGTGGCTGCCGGCGGACGGAAGCGCCTTTCTTGGGTACTCGCAGGAAGAGCCCTCCTCGGCATCTTAGGAGAAAAGGGGGGAGCTTAGCCACGGCAAGTCTCCCATTCCTGGTAAACTCTCGGGCTCCCTGTTTCTTTTTCTCAAGACCTTCTACAGGTTTGTGGGAAAGGGTGACCATCACACTTGCAGCCGCTCTGTGGCCTGGCCTGGCACACGCGAGGGGACCAAGCGCTGCTCAGAGGATCGGCGACCGCTTGGACCTGCGTGCCCTGAGCTCAGCAGCCAGCCAGCCAGCTTTCCGTTGCTGTGCTGGATCCGGCCCTTTCCATGGGCCGAGGGGGGAGGGAGGGAGGGCTGCTTCTGGCGAGCTGGGATGGGAGATCGTTCTGCGTTTCGAAGAAGCAGTCTGCGCACAATTAAAACTTGTTTCTGGTAAACCTCATTCCAGGAAGATGAGCTTTTAACAAAAGGCTTTTGACAGCTGCGGGGTATTTCAATTTTTTTTAATGCTGAAAGAAAAATCAATACATTTTTCTGGGTTATACATATTCAGAACAGGCTGGATATTTCCATTATAATGGAAAACGGTGTCTGCACCCATCTCGCCTGTCAGAGCTGCACCGTTGCATTTTCCAAGCCGCTGCTAAATATTTCAGACCCAATTTGATTGTGGTTTGTGACAGCTAATGTTTCTCGGCTGTGGAATCTACTGGAATGGGATGCAGGAGGAGGGGGGAAGCACGTACCGCTTTCCTCTTCCTGCCTTGCCCCCTCCCCCCGCCCACGCTGGTCTTAACGGTGTTGGTAAGGACCGTCATTTTGTTAAGTAGATGTCTGGGAGGAAGGAATCCCAAAGAGAGACTCCAAGTGGGAGTGGGTGAGAATTGGCTCCCTGCTGCCTTAATCTGGGCGTCCGCCAATATGAAGGGCAAGAGAGGTTGAGCGGGTTTTCCTGCATGGAAGTAGGACCCCACTCTGTGCTCGTCCCTTCAAGGCCTGGAGGTGCCCTTGCTCGAGAGATGGGGTTTGTTCGCTCATCATTTCACTCATCAGGGACACCTTGCAGGGAAATTCCTTAGATTCCTAGCCTGAAAACAAAAGAGTGGCTCTGCTGATGCTTTAATGCCAGTCCCCCCTCTCACCGCCAGACCCTGATGCAAAACCCTGGAACACAGCAAGCAGTGGGCCGTGTGGAATTTAATAACCCCTGATGGATCTCCAAGCTCTGCTTCTCATCGTTATTGTACTTTGGAAGAGAAAAGGTATCTTCAGGTCAGCAATATGGCCTTCACCTGAGCTGCTGGTGTCCCAACGTTTATGGCTAGCTTAGAAGACTTCTTGAATTCTTGTCCCCAGTTGTCTCTTCTCTAAGATGCGTTACTCCGGACTGCAGCTCACAGAAGCTTCTGCCATAACAAATGTGGTTGTCTGAGGTGCCACATGGTTCTGCAGGGACATGGATCTGCCAGGAAATCTATGGAGAGCCCCCAAAAGCAGGCCTTTTGCGTGGCTGAACTCCTGCTGTCCCCCAGACTTCCTTTTCCCTTCTCCTGGAGCGCTTGGCTCTTGCAGGGACCGTCGTCCTCAGGGCAGCTTCTGTGCGTGCGGGACCAGTCAAGCGAGGGCACGGAGGAGAGAATGTGCCAGGAACATCCAGGTTTATTAATACCCCCCCCCCACATTATTGGTATTCATAGCTCACATTTTTGTGGCTTTTAGGCGTCTCAGTGAGCTGTTTCCCCTCTTCTTGTTGAGAATAACCTCGAGACTCTGGGGCATCCCCCCTTGATTTCCTCTGCCCCAGACCAGCAGCCCTTTGCTCACAGGGTAGGATGATGTCCGTGAGGGACTTCAGAGCATCACCAGTTGGCCTCCTGGGAGGCAGCGCCCTCCAGCCCAGTCTCTCAAGCCACAGAGGTGGAAAGGCTGGTCTGGGGTGGTCATTTTGTTAAAATGCAAGGCTGGGATGGAGGCTGGTGGGTCCTCCTTGTGCTCACAGGGGGCTGCTAGGCAGGGAAGGGAGAAAAGCTGGCCCTCCCCCTTCCTGGACTGTACTCTACATGACAGAATCTGCCATGCCAGTGCAGAGTATTTAATCCTCGACGGTGCTGCTGATGTGTGACCCATTTCTGCAGAGAAGGGACCCAGAGCTGCAGGATCAGGATGGGGTCATCTCTTTCTGGGGTCTTCATCTGGGGCCATTCCCTTGGGACCCCTCCCACCCATTTCTCATCTAGCTGGGCTGCTTGGGCTGAACTGGTTGAGGATTGCACTGAACGCGGCGATGGCCCCTCTAGCGGCCTCAGTTGCACTCCGTTCCCTGGGCTCCTGGCCTGGAGCCCAGGCTGCCCCTCATCTTCTCCTCCGGGGCGGAGGGGCAGCCATGTCGTCCACGCTGGGTTCACCCCGGTGCGCTTCTCCATCTGTCTCACGCCCCCCTTCTGTTTTGGGGGCGCTCGCTTCTCTTGCTAACACGCTGAAGGAGGACTGGCAGCCTCCAATCCCCCCTGGAGTCTGGGATGACAGGCTTCCCCTGTGGGCGAGCACCGCTGCCTTCCACCCCTGGAATGACCTGTGGCCTTTCCATAGATCCTCTGTCTGTGACTATCCGCTTTTTTGACTTTTTGGTTTTGGGGCCAAGAAGTAAGTCCTATCTTCCCCCTCCCCGCCCCCCCGCCGGCCGACTGCATGGACTGATGAATGTCCGTGTATTTCTTCCCTTCCCTATTTTGCATCCTGGGGCACAGCCCGGTCAGGGCACGGCTTCTCCCATCCCCTTCAGGAAGTGTAGGTTGATCTGTCTGCTGAGGCTGAGCTGCAGGTGCCTCATCGGTGGCTCTTCCCCGGAGATGGTGCGGGACGCAGGATTTTAATGGTCGGTGTTTCTCTCTGCCTGAGGGGCAGCTTAACGTCTTGAGGGTCGGGGGCGTGAGAAGCTGACCGCTGGGCCTCCAGAAGGTTGGGGAAAGCCTGGGCTGCTTAGAGGACCTCCTCTAGCCCTGAGCGGGGCTGGAGTGGTGACGGACTCCCTGAGAGGAAGCCAGCTGGGGCCTCAGCGTGCACCGTCCCTCTCTTCTCCCCTCCAGAGGAGCTTGCTGGCGATGCGGAAGGGCCTGGTGAGGCAGCAGCGCACCCAGAGGAACCGGCCAAGGAGACGGAGAGCGTGGCTGACCCGGACCAGGTCAAGTGGGCAGGTGAGCAGGAGCGGGCAGAGGCCTTTGCTCTGGCAGGGACAGATTGCTCCATGTGCCCCCTCAGTCCTGGTTGCTGCAGACACAGTGCTTTGCCCGTCCCTTACTAGTCTCGTGTCTCATGTTTCCAACAGCAGCGCACATTCCTGCGAGGCGTCAGTGAATTGAGTGGTGCTTTATTAGTCGGCCAAACTGTTAGTGTGAAGCTGAGGGGATTCTCCGAGGGACCTTGCAGTGTTTTACCTGCCCAGGGCCAGCCACGGGCCAGCCGAGAAGAAGCTTTGGCGTGGCGTGGGTTCAGGGGAAAAGCCTCCAGCACGGTCCAAAGAGGGGGTGCTGTCGCCTTGCAGCAGGGACGTGGGAAGCCTCCCTTGCCTCTGGGCCTCTTTTGCCCTGCCCGCTCCCCACTTACCAGGGCCCCTCTCACCTAGAGTCTCTGGTCTGTGCCTCCCTCGTAGATCTGTGCTTTAGAATAATGCTGCCCTTACGCTGGAGGCAGCCAAGGCCATTGTCCTCGGTACTTTATACAGAACGTGTGGAAGGCTGTACTGGCTGTGGCCATCCACCTATGGACAGCATTTAGCTGTTTAACACGGGCTGCTACCTGAAAGAAAAGCAGCTTATTTGGTCTTTGCTTCTGAAGTAGGATGTTGTGAGTCCATAGAAGGTAACATGTTTTCCTCCATTAGGAAGGTGGGTGGGCAGGGAGATTTTCAGTTCAGTTTAGTTCAACGTCTTTAAAGCCCATAGTCTGAAGACCATTAAAAAAAGAGCTTGGCTCAGAAATGCTTTGCCCCAACCCTTTGCAGCGGGGGGCGGGGGGGTCATCTCTATCTGCAGTGGCTGAGTGGGAACAGCTCCCCAAACTGTCTCTGCAGGAAAACTCTGGATTGGATGGTGTCAAGGTTGGGATTAAACCGCTGTGGAGGGTTGGAAAAATGTTGTTGAAAGGTGGACTTCTGGAAGGCAGGTCTGGCCAAGAGAATGACAGTTGGGTCTGATCTGTAACTGAAGGGCCTTTTGCCAGTTTCTAGAAGAATGTGACTCTTGCAGTTGCAAAGGAAAGGGAAAAAGTCAGGGGGAGCAGCAGCCTGTTCTCCATGCTCAATCAACCTTTGCCTGCCCAAGATGCTGTGATGCGCGCGAGAGAGAAAGGGTGAGCTGTTCATGCTCCTGGCCACTTGCAAACATGAGATTTTCTTCCTAGCCCTTTGGGTCAGCTGATGGGTTGCCGCTCTGAAGGCGGATATCCCCCATCATGTAGACTTCCTTATAAAACTGACCAGTGAGGAACAGGGATGCTAAATCCCCCTTCTGGGTCTGCTTCCAAGACCATTTCTATGCTCTTTGGGCCAAGCTTCCACCAGCCCTGTTTGAAGTACATTAACTTCAAAGTAAACAGGCTCTTGGGCTGGCCGATGTCTGGACCCTATTTTCTGGGGTCTAGTCTGGCCTTGGGGATGTGAGGAGAGCCTGCTTGTAGGCCTCCAAGGCTTATTCCCCTGCAGTACATCCGTTGAAGAGGCAGACTCTTGGTCTCCAGCTCTTCCACTTGGCCTCTCCACAGACGTGCTGAGCTGGAGCAAAGGGCTGCTGTAGCCAGAGAGCTTCTCTCTGGAGCTGACCACTGCGCTGCTCTAGGGAGGAGAGCACCAATGTTCAAGAGTCCCAGGACCAAACTGTTTTATGGAATGTAAATTGCAGAGGACCCCAGCTTACGGAAAGCAGCCTGGATTAATAGTCACTTAATAGGCTCCTCTGTTAGATTAGCTGCTGGATTAGTTGATGAGGTTTAGCTAAAGGAGCTGTCAGTAAAAATTTATTTTCAACAGAATAAAAACAATATATACAAATTTTTTAGTTGAAAAAGAATAAGGAAAAGTAATAAGAAAGTGAAGAAGAAATAAAGAAAAAGAAGTGGAAGTAGAAAAGAAAGAAAAAAGTAATAAAGAAGCAGCTTCCGATCTTCTTAATAGCAGTTATAAGTACATTTACACTTTACCCTCTCTCTCTACGGTTCCATCATAATTTCCTTCTTTCCATAATCTACCTTTTCTAATCCTCAAATCCATAAATTACCAGTTCATTTTTTTCTTTTTTCAGCAAAGTGTCCATAAGGGGTTTCCAGTCATCTAATAAATGTAGCCGTTGATCTTTCTCTAAGCAAACAAGTTAATTTTGCCATCGCTGCTAGTTCTGTCATCTTCACCAAC